CCAGCTACTCGGGAGGCTGAGGCAGAAGAATGGCGTGAACCCGGGAGGTGGAGCTTACAGTGAGCCAAGATCACGCCACTGCACTCCAGCCTGGGCAACAGGGCGAGACTCTGCCTCAAAAAAATAAATAAATAAAAATAAAAAGAGAGAGAGAGAGAGAGAGAGAGGGAGGAAGGAAAGCAAGCAAGCCCAAAAGAATGCAACCGTTTGTCCCCTATCTACCCATGACCTGGAAAGCCCCCATTTCCAGACCAAACCCATGTTGATCTTATATATGTTGATTGATGTCTCATGTCTCCCCAAAATGTAGAAAACCAAACTGTGCTCTGACCACCTTGGGCACATGTCCTCAGGATGTCCTCAGGAGGTCCTCAGGGCACGCATCCTCAACTTTGGCAAAATAAACTTTTTAAATTAACTGAGACCTCCCTCAGATTTTCGGGATTCACAAGTTTTAACAGGATGAGAATTTTGCAGAGGGAACTTTACATAGGTCCTTGAAACTTGCTCAGAGGTACCAGGACTCAGTAGTTCGTCTATCTCTCTAGTTTCTCCCCACTTCCACACTAGTGAGGCCAGAACTCATTTTTGTATAATAGTGCTTAATTAGGCTGGACACAGTGGCTCGCGCCTGTAATCCCAGCTACTCGGGAGGCTGAGGCAGGAGAATTGCTTGAACCCCCCTCAGGAGGTGGAGGTTGCAGTGAGCCGAGATCGCGCCATTACACTCCAGCCTGGGCAACGAAAGCGAAACTCCATCTCAAAAATAATAATAATGCTTAATTGATTTTGTTCAGGTTTCTTTTTTAGACGAAAAACAACTCTATTATAGAATTTTCTTGGGGGGGAAACACAATTGCAGTCACTAAACCAGAAACCACAATTACTTTTGCTTCTTTTCCTACATTTTGTTCACAAGACGAGGTTTTTGTTTTGTTTTGTTTTGTTTTGTTTTGAGATAGTGTCTCACTTTGTCGCCCAGGCTGAAGTGCAGCGGCTCGGTGTGGGCTCACTGCAAGCTCTGCCTCCTGGGTTCAAGTGATTCTCTCACCTCAGCCTCCTGAATAGCTGGGATTACAGGTGCCTGCCACCACGCCCAACTAATTTTTTGCATTTTTAGTAGAGACGGGACTTTGCCATGTTGGCCAGGCTGGTCTCGAACTCTTGACCTCAAGTGATCAGCCCGCCTCAACCTCCCAAAGTGCTGGGATTACAGGCGTGAGCCACTGTGCCTGGCCTCAAAGTGTGAGTCTTTCTCAATCATATCAGTGATTAAATGGAGAAAACAAAACAAAACAATGGATAATGGTGGAAATGAATGTAATGCCACAAATTTTTTTTTTTGTTTTTTATTTTTTGTTTTGAGATGGAGTCTAGCTGTTGCCCAGGCTGGAGTGCAGTGGCACGATCTTGGCTCACTACAACCTCTGCCTCCCAGGTTCAAGCGATTCCCCTGCCTCGGCCTCCCAAGTAGCTGAGATTACAGGCATCTGCCACCACGCCCAGCTAATTTTTGTATTTTTAGTAGAGGTGGGGTTTCACTGTGTTGGTCAGGCTGGTCTCAAACTCCTGACCTTATGATCC